ATAAATTAATAACTTAAAATATAAATACAAAACAGATTTCCTTACATTTTTTATAGGTTAAATCCTCATTTTGATCCCTCTACTTTGGTAAGAAAACCTTTTTTTGATCCTTTTACTTAAAAAAGCCCATCTTTGTCTCTCTATTAAATTCTGCATACGTAACACATTAGATAATAAAAATTTCAAAATGGAATGACCAAAATGGGTTAAAAAAGGGCTAAAATAGCTTCAATTTGGTCCCTTTACTTTGGAAAAAAAGCCCCTTTTTTGTCATTCTCTTTTAAAATTTTCATCATTTAACGTCAAAATTTAATAGAAAGACTAAAAGGAATCGGATTTCAAACTTTATGAACCAAAAAGAGGTCTTTTTAAGTAGAGGGACTAAAATGGGGCTTTTTACCAAGGTAGAGAGACCAAATCGGGGTTTAAACTTTTTTATAATATACAATTTTACACAATATTTACAAGCAAATAATATGATTCTATACAAAAAAATAAAAAATATCTAACAAAATATTTTATAATCTTAATTTATTATAAATTACTTATGTAAAAAAAAGTAAAATACAAATTTCTATTTTTTTTTCTATACTATAACATTTTACAACATACAATTAAACAACCAAATATGTTTACACAAACAATATCTATTTTACAATTTACTTAATCAATATTCAATTTTATTAGTTTTCTAAAAAATACAAAAAAAAAAAAAGATGATAAATTCGAAATAGTGAAAAAAGGCTCTTTTCCAGACTAATAATGGTCCGAAAAACTATAAAGGGTTGATCCACGGTCATCTCAGCCAGATGTACGCTGGGCAACCTTTTTTTGGACTGGTAACAGTCTAAATTCTACACATTTTCTAGACCAAAATCAATCTAGAAAAGTGTCGCTTGCTGCTACAATTTTCCAGACTAGTTTTGATCCGTACATTTGCCCAAAAAAAAAAAATCTTGCATTTAAATATCATTTTACTTAAAAAATTGTCTTGTAAATTTTCAGAGCAATTTCGGTTGGGAAATATTCAAAAAAAACCTAGCAATAGTTATTAGTTTAATTGTCTGGTAGATTATTTTTTTCAATAACACTATTCAGACTATTATTGGTCTAAAATTTTTTAATGTGTTTTCACTGTTTTGATGCCAACAATTTCCAAACCGTTACCGGTCCAAATAAAGTTTTTCCATTAAACTTACTACTCATCCCTAATCAATAAATATTTAGACTAATTACGGCCCACAATAATATTTTTTTCAAATCAAAATTAATCAATCTAAATTATGTTGGTTTGAAAATCCTCAATTTCTAATTGTGAGATGAAGGTCGAAGGAGGGAGGAGGGAGGAGGGAGGACAGTAAATCAGAAAAGGATTAGGTTTATTAATCTAAATTTAGCTCTATTTACTTTTAACCACTCATATGATAATATAATTATTTTTTAAAAATATTTGGGAAATAATTTTTTATAATTTTTTTATTATTTAATGATTAATTTTTCTCATTTTATCATACTACTAATAATATTTACGTGATTATGCGTTTATAATATTTGTTTGATAACAAGTAAGAGTTATATATATTATAAAATAATTTTTTTATGAGAAATAGAAAAACATATTAAGTACTAAGAAATTACAGTAGAATCCCAATCTCATGACATATAACCAAAATCAGAATAACCTAAAGACAAAATAAGAAGTATAACCTACAGCACTAATAATAAACTTAAGTTATGCCCATGACAGGTATAGACAATTAAGCAAAAAGAGCCATCTGCAACTAGGGATTGAATTTACAATTGCTGTATGGGCTAAATAGGGCTACTAATGTAGAAAGGAGAGTCACTATGAGCATTACGAACTACTAGACATCCTCACCTATTTAAGTAACTTCTTAGGGAGAGTAAGGGATTCTGGCAATAAACAGTCCCCAACCCACAAATTGTCGCCCTACTTGTTCTTAAAGAAGAACAACCAAGAGGGGTACAGGCCTTCTCCTGACAAGCACAAGGCCCCTTAGTCGCCTTCGTATACTCCCAATCATGTTCCCATCTTTGCCGATCCTCAACAAACCCATGCTGTTGAAACTCATTAATGGAACTAGAGCCCCTTTGCTACGTTGAAAATCAAGCTTCCCACACCGACCATAGCCGGCCTTACCAACAGCATCCCTTTCTTTCAACAATCAGCTAGCTAATTAGGAACTAGTGTGAACTAGATTCGCCAAATTTGACCCCCGCCAAGATCCCATCCAAGGAGATGCATCAGAGTGAGATTCTTGCCCATTAAATAGGAGAAACCCACTTCACCGGCAAGATCAATTCCAATCACAATTTTAAAAAATCAATAGATGAAAAGCGAAAAAGTCACTGCCTTGTGGTCCCTTGGGTTGGAGTTTCCAAGGCAAGACAACAACAAGATGGAGGAGATCAAGAGGAGGAAGAGAGGGGTAAGAAGAAAGGAGGGATGAAGGAACTTGATGGGAATCAAGACGACAGCATATCTACTATGTCTTGTAATCCATTACACACCCAAGGAGGTCCTGTCACGCGAGCTAGAGCTAAGAAGATGCGTGAAGCTTTAAATGGCCTTATTGAGCAGATCTGGGTTGAAAACAACATACAATAAGCAAATCGAAGCTTGGATGATTATCAAGGCATGGTAAACACCATTAAGGTTCAAGAGAAGTGTAGTTGAGGTCATTTGCACGGAATTACACAGTTTGCACCAAAATCGCACAATTCTGTCACAATTTGTAGCAAATTGATATTTCGTGTTATTTTAGGTTATTTTGTGTTATTTTAGGTTATTTTTAGTGGCTTTCACGTTTTTTGTATTATTTTTGGGCTGAACATTCGCTTATTTGAAGCCCAATTCGTGGTTATTAGGTTTAGTACTTAGGGTGTTAGTTTCCTATTCTAATTAGGATTTTTTTTCTCTATTTAAAAGGCTTGTAACCCTAATGGGGAAGAGGAGATTGAATCTGAGTTTTTGAGAGACTTTTCTCTTTGGTTCATTTCAGAACTTTACAGAACTTATCAAGATTAATTCTTGTGGTGTTCTAACTTGACTTGTCATTCTCGTTCTTAATCATTCGAGGGTGTGGCGTCAACCAACTTTATACCTCTAGTTCTTGTTGCGTCATAGACAATGGGTCAAGGTTTTTACCTTTGGTTCTTGTTGCGACATAAACAACGGATCAATGTCCTATTATAAACCTGATTTGGCTTTCATGGAGTTTAGAAATCCCTTGTCGTACTGTGGGTCTCATTGTTCTCTTTAGGGTTCTCATCATCTTGGTATCA